ATGGCCGCAACCCCCTTTCTGAAAGTTGGTTGTACATTTGTATATTCAATAAATAGAAAAATGAAGTAAGAAGACAGTTACTGTATTTTTATTATTATTATTCGTCTCTACGAACGATAAAGAGAGAATATATTTGTGAAACGTAATCAAAAAGCTGATAGCTAATTCTTGTTCAAGAAAGCGGGACCTAAAAGTACTGAAATAAAGCGTGAAAAACGTTGAAATATCTGGGTCATATGCTACCAAATAATGATTATATGGGGAAATTTAGTTACGTACATACCAGATGAAGGTAAACAGGCGGCCCTGAATGCGAGGGAGCGAAGGAAAGCATACTTTTAAACATGGGCTTCGAAGGTAATCAGATAGTCAAGACAGATTTGAGTCGAACTGCACACCTTCGTTTGACAGCATATAACACGGGCAAATCCTTGTAACATTTTCCGATTTGAAACGTCTTGGTATCAACTGAGGACACTCCTGTAGTAATATGCAATTTCTCATTGTTAAGTGGACAATATGGTGCGCAGTAAAACGCCAAGTCATCAGGCTTGCCTACAGAACATCATACATGTTTGTTCCCATCATGACTCTGAACGAGTAAGTAATAGGCCGGAATATCATGGGGACTAAAGAGCTAAGGCGCACGATACATACGAGGTGATCAAGCCACCCCACCCAGTAGTCAAAACTACTCTGAGTAAGCCTCAAGTAAGGTAGCAACTAGAACAATACAGCGGCTGTGAAAAATGTATATAAGCCAAGTTATTGATCTTGCACACTACACAGTGAACCATATTGCGTTCTATCAGTCAGAATGCAGCTTATCATACGAATTATGGTAGCTATGGTTTCAGGCGCTCCCAAGTGTTCCGTTGACTTAGGCACAGGATATCTAAAACCTCTATCGTCACGTCTTGGGATGCGAACAGTCCAAACGAGTGCCTACTTTGAACCGACATGTAATCTATCGTTCTGTGTGGTTGTCTCACCTTCTGTCAAGAATTTTCGACATTCACTCATGGTCTTTTAACCTTCACTCGCGGCTTTTGCCTATGACCATGGTTTCGTTTTCTTCGCACACAGTACTTTAACGATGTTGTCCTTTTTCAGTAAATTGCAACTTGCAGTCACGTCACAACTGTGGCTGCCCATACGCACTAGCTCCTTCCAGTCGTGCGTGACAGCAACCCACCTGGTTCCCTCAGCTAGGACACTTGTTACCCGATTTGAATAATCTCTTCAGACCTGTGTCGTCCCCTAATCTTTTGCCGATATGAATGAACCAATTGGTTCCAACCAATTACGGTAATCGATGAACTTTTCCAACGATCTCGTGAACAACGTTGTCCCGGGTATTGGTATACGAATACTTCTTTTAGTCCCAGCTCAAACAGCCTTGAACTATGTGACTGTCATATGTTTCGATGAGGGATTTAGCCATGACATTAATTACAATGATGATCATCGTTAAATGACCGTGTTTGCTGATCCAATTTGAAATATTTCTGGACTGAACATCGCAAAACACATGTTAGTTGTTTACCCCACAGGTTGCATACTGTTGTCTTTGAAACCTGTCGGTAATAAGCAACACGCTCTCAGTGATATGGGTTCGCTGTTCTCATATATGGGCAGTACTGGTCAGGTCTAACGACAGCGAAACTGAAGTTTGATGCTCTCCGAGTGTGTGATTAATTGTCTGAACTGAGGATTGTGCGCTTTATATACATGGCGTGCAATTTCATTTCTCATTGATGATTCCCATGAGTTCATTTCTTTGAACCTTGAACTCTGTCAAAGCTGTAAAATAAACATGTTATTATCACGTGCAAATAAAATTTATATCGCACTTTTTTATCGAAGTTTATCATGTGCCTCCTCCACTTCTTTTTGACATTTTCCTAGAAATGTAATCAAACTGCTCAGCGCTTTGGATGCCTCACCGGAGAGCCTAACAGCACTGAATGATGCTCTTCCACAACACCTGAACGATGAACTCTCACGTTTTGAACAAGTATCGATTTTGAAGCAAAAACTGAAAGACCTGAATGTGCGACTGAGCGATATGATTGAAGAGGCGAGTGAGCTACAACGACAAAATCCCCTTGGTGAGTTATATAATTCATGATGGGTCATTCACTTCCTTTCCATTTATTTTTCTCACCATCTGCGTTTCTTATCATTTTGAAATGAGTGATTCCAGTTCAAAATGCGCTCGTTTAAAAAATCAAATATTTTTTGAAATAAGATCTTTGAACTTCGAGATGTCTTCCGAATGATGTAGTGATCATGTTGTTTCTAATTTTCTCGAGGATAGATCAATTTCCACATAGACATTTTATCTATTGAATTTCCCATCTTAAAACTAACAGTATCTTTCATCCCCGTGATCTACTGAAAATGCACCAAAGAAAGAGAGAGCATGGTTGTTTCAAATCCCGTTGGAGGATTTTCTTTTTTTATTATGGATCGATATGCTTTCCTGTTTTGCAATCCCATGTGACCCCGATAAACATTCTACTACTACTACTTACGACAGGTGAATGTGTATCTGGTCATTCACACGCACACCTAGTCACCACTTACCTGAAGTCGTCAAAGATATTATGCACTTTGCATATTAGTTTACTTCTTAATGAACCACGAAGTAAGCCGGTAGAAGGTAAACCCTTGAAAATTAACCTTTTCCGTACCGCGCCACAGTCCCCAATCTGCGTTGGTCGGAAACCGGTTTCGATCTCAAATTGTGTCGATCAGGTTGCGTTGTTTTTCTCTCATTTTTCTCTCCCTCTTTATCCTTAATGTCTGTTAACCATCGTCAGTTCGTGTGAAAAAAGGTAGTGGATGGTTGTTGTTTGTTCGCATTCCAGTAATCGGATTCACAACTGGTTTACCGCTAGCCCCTAGTTCAGTCTCATTTACATCCTGTTTATCTGTTGATTCTGTGATATACGGCCTCTCACTGCCTCAACGAGTGCAATTTGACTATGCCAATTTGAGTAGAAAACATTCTAATTTTTTATGCACAGAGAATATTCGGACAGTGTATTCTCATCAGAACGCATAAGTGATAAATGGGGGAGTGATTTTGATCATTTGTAATCTGTTTTAACAGTGGAAGCTTATTACAAACACAGTACGGTTGATTCACGATGACCAAAGTTTTTCTGTGGTTGTGTCAATGCAGATCGTCCGAGTGGATGGCAGGAGTGATACGCATTCCGGGATCAAAGAGGCCGCCGTGAAATCTAGCTTTAGATGACTCATTCCTCAAGGCATACATGTGTTAGTTTCAATCAGTTCCTTTTCCCCTGAGTGTGGTTGTCCTGATTTCTTCATGCCAGTTTTCTGAGGAGAAAGAATGCATGCGATACATTTGTGTTGCGATATTAAACCCATTAAGTCAAATAGGTTACTTACAATTGTCCATGTCCAAAACTGCTTATTATGAAAAAAACTAGATCAACAACTGAATTCCTTGAGTTATTAATAATCCGTTTCCCGGTTTATTATTATGTCAAACAAATCATCCGAAATAACGGAATTCAACACCGTAACTAGTAAAACAAGCTTTGAGTAGTGCTACTAAGTGACAAAACAACGAGGGCCGATTGCTAACCGAGGACCACGGTATCGCTGTTGAGATGAATTATTTATTCGAAACCTCGAGGGAATAGCTCGCCGTGCGAAATACTTCGTTTCAATAATTCTAATTAGAGTATTTGCATCACAAAGTATGCCCAGGGATTAGGACCACTAAATGTGGGTGAATTCTGATAATTCCTTTCCAAGCCTCTGCAATTTTAATAATTTCAATAAGGTCAAATATAATGGGGGATGGGCTATGTATGTGACAATGATCCCGAGAGAATTGATACGCTGTTTGTATTCCTTATGTATGTATGTATGTATGTATGTATGTATGTATGTATGTATGTATGTATGTATGTATGTGTATGTATGTATGTATGTATGTATGTATGTATGTATGTATGTATGTATGTATGTATGTACGTATGTAGGTATGTATGTATGCAGAAAAATATGCGTGACTGTCTGTGTGTACGTACGGATGGATGGATGTATGAACCGTTCTAGCAGTGATCGTTCACGAAATTCCAATATTTTAATATACGAGCGTTTTTTATCCATAAAGGGGCTAATATTGCGGTACAGAAGGCACTGGAGAGTGCCCAGTTGGTGAAGGAAACACAACGAGGAATTGATGCGCAGAAGAATCTTTTGGAAAGCCGAGGTCAAAAGTTAGACGCTGAAATGAATGCGGTACAGACGCGAGGCACCGCTTTGGTTGAATCATGGGCTCAACTGGATAGGCGTATTGGAGAATTTCGTGATGAAATTCGTCAGATCAATCGTCAGGTATGCATCCGTGTATACCCGCTGTACCTGAGTACATTTTGTATTCTATTGTTCCATTGTATTTTTTTCTCATCAGTTTAGTCCATTACACGCATGATTTGTTTACGTACGGAATTAGTCTGTCTTGTGAACTGTGAAATTTTACAATAAAATTTTGGACATGGTATTATTGGGAAGGTATTTAAGTTTTATTTTTCAAGGTCATTTTTACTGTTCTCTATAGATAATTGATTGTAATTTGGTTCCTGCTAGTCAGTACCTGAATATAATATATATCAGTAGGAGTAAAGCATGGATGCACGTTCCCTGCCGCCATGCTTATTAGCAGACTTCTTGTAATGTTATGTGCGAAGCCCGTGTTCCTTTGATAGCTTTTCGGTGAGATTCAGTACAAATTGCACAATTTCTACTGCTGCGTTATTCCATTTGTTCCATCAGTGTCTACTGGTTTAAGGAACGTTAATCCCCCCCCCCAACAAAAAACTATGAACTGCAAAATGTGGACCATATCTGCACTTCTGATTCCGCTTCTGCCAAATAATCTTTACTCACTTCGTTTTATTTTGAATGTCTGACCCATCTTAATTTGTACCAGTTTGTATCAGGTCAAATCCTGATATACTTGCACATTCTCACTAATTTTATGTAAATGAGTTTGCAAATCAATTCAGAACTAGTTGTACACGTCCATTGCATTCACTCAAAGCAAGAAATATCGTATTTGAAACGTGAATAATTTCCAACTCAGCCTCGATCAATTGTGGTCAGTAGTATGAATAAAATAATCACCACTGATTTCTTTTGGACGGTCCTCGTATCTATCGATGGATATGTTTTTGAATAATGCCTGTAACTTAAAGTTGGACTACAAACTATCCAATTATTAGAACATTATCATAAATCGTTGAGACAAAGTGTTGACTTAAAATCAGTGACAATCACTGTTGCCTCTTCTGTGTTTTCTTTGTGTAAGCCACCGGAATGCTGCTTATTCATTTTGTATTGTTTGGTATTTGTTTTTTTTTCAGACTTCACAGCTAAGATACACTAGGTCTTAGAGTGTGTGACTGAAAACACATGATTGGTTTGTGGTAATGAGCGAGAGTCATGTATTCAACGGGATGATAATATCCCTTTTTCTTTAGTATATACAACAAAATGATTTCATAAATCTATACAATTGTGCCTAATGTGAATCCGAGAAACTCATCGAGTTTACCAGTTTGCTGCCATGGTATTGCTTTTGGAACACAAATTAAATTTTAACGTGGATCTCGGATGACTTTCTTTCCCCTAAGCTCTGCGGAGACAATGGAATTCGACCAGGAAATGACGCGGATCCGAAATTGTGCCCATCCAATTGCGGTGGAGCAGCTTGTGACCCAGTTACTCGATGGATTGGTCTAAAAGTATTCCCGTTACAGCAACAGCAACAAGTATTGGTTCGGCGCACTCGGTTCATTCGAGACCTCAGCAATGAGATGAGTTCCGATCCGGACTATTGGACCGGGTTATTGGGTGGATGCGGAATCAATGCGGGTTGTGAGGGAAGTGTTGGGGGCCGATTACGTAATCTGATGGAACAGTACTTGGATCTACAAATTCAGTTGGTGGATGCAGTACAGGCCGTATACCGTGCCGAAAATCTAATTTTAAAGGTAGATTCATGTGTCCTTTAGATTGGTGAACATGATTTTTCTCTGTATCACAAACCGAGTTTCAAACATTGTTGATCCTACACCATTTTCACCTCCGCCACTAATACCACAGCAATTAATTGGATAATCTAAGAAATTACTTGGAAAAGCGCTTCCTTTTAATTTTTGAAAAAAGTAAACTGTTAGAACGTTTCGTATGCATCATTTTATTCGCATATCCTTCAACCATTTATGCATTTTAGGTTCATGCAGATCGTAAGGAAGCGGAAGAACGTGTGGCCAGTGTTACCCAAGAGGCGAATAATTTGAAAGATCGCCTGACCACCATGTACAATGTAACCGAAAGCCTTATCCAAAACGCAGAAAATTTCTCCACGGAATACGGTAACCTCACAAAGGAGTTGTTTGACGAGGTAATTTTTGTATTGATTTTAAAATGCAATAACTTTTGATTGTCATTCGAACGCTTATTGCTCGAATAATGGCACATAAGCTCCGCTGATTGAGATTATTGAACTCTTCCAATAAGGTTTACCCTAAACAATTGATAGTTCATAACGCACACATTAGTACAGTGTTAACCGTGGTTATACCGTACTCCAGATCTTTCATTAATTGGTAGCAGAAAGAGATTCTAGTCCATTCAGAAGCGCAGAGATTTCCTGCCATAAACTGAAAACATTTTAAATTACGCAAGTGTAATTAGGTGGCGCAAATCTATGTATCTTGTATATGCTTCGCTTACGGTATGTAATTGGATTTCCTGAATCAAATGCATTTGAAAACAGTGGATTTTACCGCTTTTGACTTCAACTTAATGACCCACTGCTGTTGATCAAGGACAACTTGTCTTCGTACCTCTCCGAACATGGTAACTAGACCCTAACCCCAAAGATTACCACATAGATCCCCATATATGTGTTCCGTTTATTAATGATGGCAGTCCAAATTTGTCGTCCTTATACCGAAAATCTTCAGCTTCTCCATCCTTTCTAAGGAATTTTGTCTCGTACTAACAGCCTACATATGATCACAGAACGCAATATTATCTCTGTACTCCAGTATTGACCAAATAACCCTTCTAACCACCAATCACTGAAGAGTTTCACTTTAGATGCTTTGTTTCATCTAATGCATGGCATTGTGAAATCTTTAAGCGACAGTGTTAAATCTGCAATGTGATTATGTATTGATTATTCTTCAACCTTTTGACTCCATCCCTCCATCATTTATTCTCCGAAAAATTGAAACATTTGCTTGCCCGCAGAATCTACTTGTGTGGATGATGGACTATGTTTGCGACTTGAGGAACGCATCAAAGTTGCTGAAAACGTTCTAATAAATGACTTGATGCTACTGCAAGGAGCTGTACATTCGCTGTTTATTGGTTCAACTTCAAACTTGTGATTTTCGTCTCCTTAACTGGGCTGTTGATGTTACCTTATCCTTTTCATTTTTGTTTCGTTTTATTGAATACACAAAGATACAATTTTCAGGAAGGTGGAAGCGGCCACTCAAAGGGCTGCCATGCAAAACACGAATGGGGAAAGTCAGGCGTTGGTGGTGGGATTCGAACACACTTTCTCCGGGGTGATAATTCGGTGACCTTACCACCGGGTCACCACCGCGCATATCAAGATATCACTCCACACTCAGATCCAGATAGTCTTTTTAATAGCCCTGCTAAAATTCACCTTTTTTTAACAGACCGTGGTATTTTGCCAAATGCGTCCAAATGCTTAAAGTGCATTGTCCACTATCAAGTTCCGTGTTTGTGTTGAAGTTCAGTTCCCTGTTCTGCCCAAATTTCAGTAAATATCTTTATTTTAGTCTGGCGGACTCCCTTTGTAGGAAATTCCACAAAGCAAAACACATCCTTTGTCTTGTCATATTCGGAAACTTAGAAAGAATCTCGTTATTCAACAGTCTATGTCTTCTTTCGCTTATTGATACATGTAGCTTAGCATTGTTAACTGCCCCCCCTCATTAATATTTCTTTGTTTTGTTTTGAAAAGACTTAGATCACAGAGTCATGATTCAACAACTGTCATTCACATATATGCCAGCTCTTTCGAATTGTTAGTTGACAACATGTGTAATCTTTAAATTAATGTGTGCAAGAAACATGCGATAAAACAGACAGAGTGAGAGGGAACGCGCTTGTCTGTTTGTGCACCAGAGCTGAGTCAATGGTAAATAAAATTAGTAGTCCCAAGTGATCGGTATGACCAGTCGTTAAGATGATAAGTGATAACGACTGTGCTGATTCCCGCTTACCGCAGCAGATGTTCGGATTGGTTTCAGTTAGCATTGACGAAAACGAGTAAATTTGAGGGAAAGGCGAAAACAAAGACGTTCAGTTTAGAAACCGATCAAAATGATTGTTTTCCTGGGGTTGGAAATATTATCGTCCCTACAACGTTGTGGTTTTCCCAATCGAACAGCGCGAGTTCAGACTGAAAACACACTGAACAGCTAAAAGTCAGGTTGAACCAAAACCAACTGTGGATTCAGTTAATTCTAATCAGAAATTGGGGTCAATAAGTATGGGAAATGTCACTCAGTCCTTAATCAATTGAACGACGTGGTATGTTGGGTTACTTTCTCGCGCAATGCAATCCAAACTAGTTACACTATCAACACAAAAAGACACGTTTACTCTCACTCCGTCTGTTATTTTGTTTCACGCTTTACTTCACACAAAATTTGACAAACTTCTCGCTATTACGTCATTTTCCCAACCAACACCGTGATCACACAACGTTATTCATCGTGTCCGTCCCGGATTAGATACAGCGTCACATCCTAATCCGCCTCGGCCTATTCACTTTGCACTACAAGCGTTCTTCAGACCGTAATCAATGCTGTACAGTAGTCTAGTTGTAACCAGCCCGTTCGACAAGTTATTTCCCCCCATCAGTCCGGTAACCCGAGATTGACTCGCGTCTTAGCGTCACGTGATCTCAGAGAGCATTGGACTTGCCACTTCATACTGCCTCGTGTGTGAGTTTGATCATTTGTGCTGATCGCAACACAGAGTTACAAAACGGGCCATTAATACTTCAGTCCTTGATCCAAACGAAACCACTGTACCGTTCGGTACCTGCCACATTCATGCAATATTGGTTATCTGTTTCAACTGGATTCTCTCCGTAGTGCCTAAACATTCTCAGTGCTACCATTGTTATGTACGGCTTGGATCTCATAGAAACTGTGTACTTGAAGTGGCTTGTGCATCTAATTTGGTTTGGAGAACATTTGTAATTGTTTACAACGTTTTTTTATCTGCAGTAATGAAACTGAGGTTTCAACTTTGACATATGACACAATATGACATGTTGGGGTACCCTTAGGTCAGTTCACTTGTATATTATATATCTGGTGCATTTGACCATATTGGACAAGAACTTATTGGGTATTTGTTGCTCATTCATCAGTCAATGATCTTGTATCTCCGATAAACTCCCCTACTTGTGTGTTCACTCACATGCATTCCTACCCAAACTTGGTGTTTCTTTCGTTCATTTTCCTTTCAAAAGCTCGTCGACAAAGTTAAAGAATCTAAACTGAATGTCACTCTAAATGACGCCAGGAAATTAGTATTTGAGTTGGATCAGCGTGCAAAGCAGTTGGAGACACGTGTGCAGGAAATTCTCACAGAGACCGAGACCGACAGAAGAATTTCGAAAAAGTTGTTGGAACAAGCGGAGATGGTGAGGTGCGTTATTTTCTTGACTGGTAATAGTGACTGCCACGCTGTAGTCACATTGATGGTCTAATTAGTGCCCCCTCCCGCGTGCGACTACACCACATCTACGATGGAATTCATATTTCCATTTCACAGCCACTTTGGATGGTGCCCGTAGATGTGCGGGACTAGACACCTAGTCATTTTACCAGTATACTTTGTTTCTCGATGACAGGCAAATGCATAAATTGAGAATGAAGTTACCGAATCAAACGGTGTTTACAGCCGTAGAGACACAAATGAACTGAATGAAAACTGAAATGGAACTTGGTTATGTGAAAAAATTTGTAAATTTTGTATGATTGCCTTCCGGATATATTCTGTGTCAAGTGCCGCTCTTAAATGGTAAATAAGTGGAGGACACTGAAGATACAAATGTGCGAGTACTTTCTTCCTCTTAGACTCGCACATGGCATTGGTTGTGGATAATTAGATATTTTGTTCTCACTATACCCAGATAGGGATTTTAAGTTTCTCAGCAGATTGCAAGTGGATTATTCAAGTAAGATACATGCATACAAACAAGCCATTCCGGAATAAGGATTAGATCTTTTGATGGAATTTGGCTGGGGATTTATTGCACACAGACAGAATAAATCAGTTTTAGAGAAAAATATCCAGCGATTTTTTAAACCGAAAATATGTATCTCTAACATTTACCGTAATAATTTTTTTTTATCAGCTTGTGATGTATTTCCAATCAACATTCATATGAAACCCGAGAAATCTGTACGGTTGTAATTATGCTGACTGGTGATTCGCTCGGCACAGTTATTCAACTGACATTGACAATCTGCCTGATCTTTGATAAATCAAATAGGAATCGTGCATTGCACCGTGTTTTCTCATTCTAGGGACAGCGCGAATGATTTCATGCAACAGATCAACCAGCTCAAGGAAGCGGATTCCATCTACGAGCAATTGTCCCAACACCCGGTCATTTCCAAAGCCGAGGATTCGGTGATTTCCAATCAGGTTACACAGGTTAGTGTTCGAAATACAGATGTGTAATCCGCACTCCCTTTCGTCCTCGGACACTGAACTTTAAAATGATTTTGTAATGTCCTTACAGATAATGTGGGCTATGAACGAACTGGAGCTTCATATTTTAAACTTTTGAATCAGAGTTCAATTGAGTAAATACCCATTGCATCGGTGCGGACCGTGTGCATGTGTAAGTGGCTTCTTTACATAGCGGGGAATTGATTTATATCAGGTACAAAGCCATAGCGTTGAAACAAATAGTTCAAGTTATGTGAAATTCTAATTTAAACACATTTTTTAGTTTGCTGTTATTTTTGTACTGTTGTTTTTTTTACTCCAATGACTAATGAATGTATATATTCCTCTCGGTGATGATGTGGCCTAAAATCTTGATTGATGTTTTTACCCCGTCCAGGTACCTACTGATACAAATCAGTTTGTATGCACATCTACCTTATTTCACCTGTGGAAAGCTCTTCCAAGACCATTTTAGCCAAAATGCATTGTGAGAACGACGGTTTCCTCCATATTGAGAAATTGAGCATCAATGAGCACATTCGCCCTCGTTTGTGTATGAGCGTTACGCGGAATCCCTTTAAATTTCTACCGGGATCCTCATATCTAGGAATAGTCGTTTTGTGAAATTCTGGGTGCACAAAGCGCTTTTTGACCTGAATCACACAACTGCTAATCGGAGAGAGGTAGTAAAATTTCTTAGTTTCTTATTTATCAGACGAACGGATCAACTCGAGCATTTCTCGGGATGACTTTATTTTACTTTCCACATGTAGCTCAGTAAAATATTTCGCAACTCCCAGATTTGATGTATCAGTAGTGATCATCGCGTAAAAGCAGCGTATTGACGGTGACCTTTGAAGTTATCATATATTTTTCAATCAAAAAGTCAATCAGCAAATTGTGTTAGACAGGAAATGTCAGTTCTACACAGATGAACTTCACTTTGACATTGTGTCTGGAACATAAAAATATATGTGCTAGATCAAATTGGATTACAAACTATTCTATTGATAATAATGGATTTCAATTGACTATCTTCGAGACTTAGTCTTTGTATTTAATCCTCCGTTCGTTAAGTCAGCCATACACTCTAATGTAGACAATGCCAAATAGTGGTCAGTTGAAATGTATAACACTTATCCCACTTAAAACCCGTTAATAGTTGTTGGCATAAATGTCATATCCAAGGTTCACGAGAATGTTTTAGGCAAATGATTGCTGTCCTCACTGTCGAGGTGCAATGGCATATAGTGAGATCCATCCAAGTCCTGATTACCATCCTACGCGAAAGATTTAGCAATTCCTTGTTAGGTTGATGCACATGGGTAGAGTAAAAGTTGGATAGTTTGTTTGGACACCAAATTCGAGCTCCTAGTCACATTGAGAACACATACGGAGGTATTATGAAAAAGGCTAGAAAATTAACTTCGTTGCTGTTTTGTTATTGCTTGATAAGTGTGTATACGGAATCTCAGTTATAGACTGCATTAGCTGAAGCATTGGCGAACTGAGGTACTGGATATTTCATTCTATTGTGATCTTCTATGAGTCAGGTAATTTTCTTCAGTTCGGCAAGTGGTCACCTAAGTCTATGGTCAGCTCTGTCTGCAACGCTTAAATAATCGGTGCTAAAACTTTAAAACAGAATAAAAGATCAGCGATGGAAGCGGACTTCTAATGAATTATATAATCATTAGTTAACATGGTGTGTTTAAGAAAATTCCTCGATGAACTCATGAGTGTTCATTCTGTCGGTCGTTAATTTAACACTGCTAGCATATTCACCTTGGAACAATAGCAGAACCTCGAATTGCCTCGGGTGCCTAATTTGTCACATCTGAAAAGTAAACATTTTATTTCTACTCCTATTTAGCTGAGTGAAAGTGTCAGTGGACTGGATGCAGAAAAGGGAATATTTGCAAGAGAATCCAGTGCACAGGCCGACCTAGCACGCGAAGCATCTGAAAAAGCGGTAAAATTGTTGGCCAACGCGAACATGGCTCGTAAAGACAGTGCGGACACATTGCGCGAGTTGGAAAATATGGAGGTTTGTACTCATTTGTCTGCGTGTCTCTAACACGTTTGCAGTTTATCTTATCTCTCATTGTTTGATGATTCAATGAACTAAACTTTAAACTGTGTGGTGTGTCTGATTGCTGAACATGCCCTATTGATATTGTCTGCATAAATAAATGTACTACAAACAATTTTGAGCATGGAGAACTCTTAAAAGTAAAAATAATGGTGTTCTGTAGAGTTTCAAGCCCTGCTGACATTGAGAAATTCAAACTTACCTATCTTGTTCTCTCCCTTTCTCGTTTCTATATAACGATACCCAACAGAAATCCCTTTCTGAATGTTTGACATAGTCCGCTTGTTTGGTTTAAGTAGCAATGCATCGTTAGAAAACAAAATTATAATTCGTAACTAACAAATGTTCATATATATCACTGACCTTGTCCCACCTTAGATATCATTTAAACAACTAGAGGAGAAAATGGTCGAGCTGGATCGGTTGATGAACAAACTGGATACGGGTGACAAGAAACCTGATGAGGGAGCAGAGGAGGAGGATTCGAGTCCGACATTGGCAGATCCAACTAAGCTGATGCAAGAAGTGCAGAATTACACTGCATCGTTGGAAAAAGATACCGATGAAATACGAGGTAAGGATCTAGCCCTGGTTTTCGTTTTCATCAACCATGAACTCATCATGTCACGTGATTAGTGAGACGCTCAGCTTGCACTAATCAATTATTGGCCGATAAACTGTGTAATAGCAAAGGAATATAAGTTTGCTAATCCAAAAAAAATATTGCGACGAGCATAATTTTATTCGCTGAAAGTCGTTTGTGCAAAAATGTAGTCAAACTGTTTCCGATTTAGTTCCCCGGGGAAAGTAACGATGGCACGGTTTCGGTCCTTATGGTGTGCACAGAACAGACCTCATGACAAGTTTGTGACCTCCACTGCATACCATTCTCCGCGTGATTCCTCATTTCAATAGAATATTATATCTGTGTTTGGCTAAATATTCGACGAGATGCTTCAAGAGAACTACCCACAGCATTTTCATCCGTCTTCCCTCATCCTAATTCATGGGAACCCCACCTGGAGAACAATCTTTGTCTCGGTGGTTTAGTTAACTAAACTACGTTTTATAGTTAATCAAACATTACACTGAATTGCATCTTATTAGCCGGCCTAAACATTTTTTGGTACGAGGTGAGAGCATACACTGAAACGATCAAATTAGATGACGGTTACAATGTCACTGACTGGTATACTTGAGAAAAGGGTTACGTCACCAAATTTCAAACAAATGACCGGACGTTTTTCTCGCTATTTGACGGAAAGATTCATATAGGGGTAGGTGGTAGTTCTTTGTGAGTTGGGCAACATCCTTTGGAACTTGACGTTTCTCGATAACCTCTTCGACTGTGTGGAGGGAACGAATAGCCTCGCAAGCATTTAGTGTTATCTTATTATCAAAATGATGCGATTGCCATCAATCCTGTGGTTATCATACTTTAATTAACCTACCTAGGGGGCTACCTTTAAATTGGATTTGATAGAGCGATGCCTCATTGTTTCACTCATGGGAACAGCTAGACTGACATAGATGAAAGGAGGTTTCGTCCATGAATAAAGCATGCATGAATTTCAAGAAAGTAGAACGTAGGATTTAGTAATGAATATTTTACACTTACTGGCGACAGAAGTTGCATATCTGAAAGCTTTTAAACTGAGTTTCAATTCAAAGGATCAAAAGAACGTTCTTCAATTCCTCAGACCGTTTACTGGTTTGAATGAATCAGTCATTGCATATTTCACAAACAAATCAATGCCTTTTCAACTGTGAGTTTTACTTTCTAAAGAACTTTATGAAACTGTCATCAAAATATCAGTCTCCCTCACAGCAGCATATGCACATATTGTCGTCTACACATATGCGCCGGGTGGATT